AGGATTCCTGTGCTTTGTACCTGGCCACGAGCACAGATTCTCTGGGCAAAGGGTGGGCTCGCAGCAGCACGCTGCAACCCTACAGCCTCAGGGAGCGCAAAGGGGCGTTGCGTGGGACAGCGCGGGGCCAGACCGCAGGGAAGAGGCGTTGGAGGAACCACCTGCAGAGCCTGCACAGAGAGAACGAACCTCCCAGCTCGACTTACAGGGAAAAACTCGCACGTCAGGAGCAGCGGCCGATGGCAGGTCCTGTGCCGCTCTCAGGAAGGCGCCACGCTGGGCCCAGCTCTGGAGCCCCGGCCGGAGGCAGGAGAGGGACCCTCGCTGCAGGAGAGCACCTGCATTCGCTCCTGCAGGTTTCAGAGCCTGCCGGCCTCACCTGGCACGGAGCTCGGGCAGTCGGAAGCCAGCAAAACCGTTTTAGTGGAGGAGACGAGCTGCTCCTGCAAGTGCCACAGTAGGAAAGAGAAAAGACGGAACGCGCTCCCCGCTCGTCCCGAGCAGCCCTGGAGAGCGGCCGGAGCTGCCAACGCGTCCCGGCACGCACGTGGCTGCCCATCCTTCCTTTGTGGAAAACAAACCAAGATCTGCCCTTCCTTCCTTAGGGCAGCAGGTAGGGAAAAACACAAAGTGGAGCCTCCAGATGTCAATGGGGAGGAATAAAAATTAAATCTTAAAGTGCTCACAAAGAGTTTTGCTGAAACTGAACTTCCCAGCTGAGCCAGGCCACGCACCGCACGACAAGGACAAACTCTACCCTAAAACTCAGGCTCAGGAACCACCTGTAAGACCAAATTTTCTCTGATCTGCCAAGAAAATTCAAGAGCCTCGCAGCTGCCGTTGCTGCAAGCGCAGTCGGCACGGCTCTCTGCCAACCACCCCGACCGCAAAGACTCCGCGAACATCCAAGACCTCCAGTGACTCAGAGCCCTGCACCAGCATCGCAGCAGGTGACGGGGGGCACAAACCTCCTCCGACCCCGAACGGCGGCAGGGTCTGACAGTTTGGAGAGCAGCACCAGGAATCAGCTTCCACAAAGTCAGTCCAAGAGGCTGGTTCAACAAATTCAGTGCTTTGACACACGTAAGGAACGGGCACAGCTTTCCTCAGGCTTGGGAAAATCCTCAGCGCGGACTGAGAGAACGCGACTCCCGGCTTCCCTCTGGCAC